GATGCCAGAGTTAGGTTCTCACCAAGGGTCCCAAGGTAAGTTCGCGCCTCAACCACTGAGCTACCTCAAGCTCATGTGACCTTAATCCGTTGCAACATCAGTATAAATAAATATGAAAACCTCGTGGACTGGAACTTGCCTACTTGTCACAGAAGACTTCATATCCTATTGATTTGGAATCCCGTTGAACAAACCACTTATTTGTACACTACATTGACGCTCATGTGGGATTCAGAAATACCTCGAAAGATTCCCCCGTTTATGATGCTTCATTTCGCAGAATTCCTCGGATAGTAGTTGGACCGATATTTAAGATATCGAGGTATTGTTCTTTGGAAGTAGTGTGGACATAGTGCACAAAAACCCGTCGATAGCCCACAATAAATTTTAACATCATTTAATATGCATCATGCGTGCAGGGTTTCTGAAATTGTGCTGCCCACCAACAGCAAATTCATGTGTGTACGCGTTGATATTTATGTGGAAAGCGTTAAGTCTACCTGGTCTACCTGGTGAGCCATAATCAGTAGAAACCCGTACCTGTGAAATCTTGTTCATTCTTTCGAAATTACACATGGACTAAGCACCGTTTAAGAAAGGTGGTTAGGATCGAAAGTCCAGACTGAATTTGATTAGAGTCTACAAGGTGTCAGATACAGATGTGACAGCGATCCATGTCACAACAATTCATTTGGACGAGAGGAATTCTGCTCGTGGAGAGCTAACCAGAGGCTTTTTTTGATGAAAAACAAACAAAATGAAGTGGCACTAGACATCGTTTCGATGCATCTGTAATTTATCTCTATATTAGTCTACGCGAACTGGTAGATGTGCAGTTCAGTGGGTTAAAAATCAAGTTACAAACTGTATGGGTTCCACAGCGCAACACATTTGCAAGTATCTGTGACATGTTCAAAAGATCGACTTTCTGCTTGTTGATCACCTCCATTCAAGTAGAAACACCAATGAGTGATTTATCGCTTTGTAGTTTACAAGGATTAGCCACATCTTCGGAGTGATATAAAAAAAAACCTGCGCTGGGATTTCCGTATTAGCCACTACAGAAAAAAAACCCATTATTGTCGGTCGATTATGAGGACTGAACTAGCAAGCTAAGGAAATTGAGCCCTTCTTCCAAGGCTAGGGTGTACGCGTCAAGTTTTTAATAGCCAATCATTTGTTGCCAAAACAGATTATGTCCTATTAGTGAAGCCAGTCTATGCTGGAAAGCTAAGAAGCACTGCACATTGTTGTTACATTCTTGTTGGGAATCCTCTGCTGTACCCATCTCACGAAAATCAGTTTCGAACCTGTAACCTTCCGGCTAGTGGTTGTTTGACTAGGAGAGCCTGGTCAACAGTGTGATTTACCCACACTTGAACAGGATTTGGCGTCACTCATTCTTTAATCGTGGAAAAAATTACGTGGTCACATACTGACTGTTGAGGTTTCCGATACGGAACTTTGAGTGACGCGTAAGTTCGACAATCCCGAATATCAAAAGGAACAATTAGGTTCGTAATTCTGCGGTACTATTTACACAAGGGGAAGTAAATGTATACAACAAACCTCAATTGTTCACGCTCGTGGCGTCCACAAGCTCACAGGTCTGTCACTGACCGACACAGTGCAGTGCTAGCGTCCGCACACCAAACAGCGGCGAGCGGAATGATGGCTCAGTAGCCTAGGTTGCGGTCGCCCTTCCAACGACAGTCTCGTGATTCTCATTAGACGTGCGATCACATGGAACTCACGAGAAAACAAGTCAAGGCAAGATCAGCAAACGGGACATGAACGCGCATGGGTAAGTAGGTCAGCAGCGCACATACACACACAGACATGTCAATACCCCATAGTCGGACAGGACGGCCTCTGCGTCAAGCTGAGTAGTGGCGGATAAGCAAAGCAACTGGAGATCACAACTACATAGGTAAGCAAATGAGTGGGGAAATTTTCATAAGGTCAAGTTAGATTCAACGCTGACCTGCTCCTTGAGTAATGACTTATCAGAAGGGAGTGTCTCGTGAAATTCCTCTGAGCAACTTAGAGATTGATGGTGGGCGTGAGAACGTTGAGTAATCAACAAGAAAGATTGCGTCCAATCATTGAAGGTTATGTATGCTGAAAAACCGAGAGGCACTGTACAGCTGTTTCATCCGTGATAGGAGCCAAAAACCGTTCAACCACTGACCGGAAGTTCACGGATTCGAAATTCTGAGTTCTGTGGAATGTGCACTATAGATGAAGCCAAGCCAAACAAGGATGAAACAACTGTACAGTTCTTGTCGGCCTTTCAGTATCGACTGGTTTCACTGACAGAATGAAATCTCCGTTGGAAATTAGCGAATCTCCTCACACCGCCATCAATCATTTGGTGGTCGGAAGGTGGAGACGCAAATCACTCACAATAACACGGTTTCTATACCGTGGCTTACTTATGTAGACTGAGCATTGTAAACTTTTGTGTAAAAATATTCTTTCCCATTTAAAACTCATTTGAATGTTGCACCGTAGTTTGTGCTGTTGTTACATTTCCCTGTGTATCCCTTTCAGAATTTATTGCGAAATAGTGTAACTAAGGCTGTTCGAAGCTCCAGTTCAGGTCAGATAAAAGCAAGAGATACACAACGGATGTTTTGTATGTAGCTCGTGAGTCAAGTCACACAGAATCCTTCAAATTAGTCCATAGCAGGGAAAGCACAGTAAGCGTAATTTCATGTTGGATGGTTCATTAAACCACACGACGTAAAATTCCAGTTGGTTGCGGTAGTTTAAAAAGTGAATGATTCGGGTATATTTTATTTTACTAGCAAATCCAAAATTGGTGTGGAGGCGTTATCCGATAGATTTGCTGTATCGACTTTAAAGTTTATCAAGTGTTCCCGGCAGAAGGCCAATTGATACCCGTTCATCAATCGTGCCAGTCCGTGCGGGCAACTGACTCTTGTTCGTGGGAACCATCGGAAAACCTGAGTTTTTTCGAGTTACACAATGCACCGTAGCCGACAGCCACATAGCAGCCAAATCAGAAGAACGATTCTGATGTCACTATCATCTCGGTTGATCTCATCTAACGTTTTCCTTACAGAAATCACGCACAGGAAACAGGTAACCGGTCTCGGCTATCCTTTCATGTTGTAATGGATTTAAAAAGATTACACGTATCTGTGACATCTATGCTGTTGCTAACACTTCTTTTCGAAGGCAGCAGTATAGTTGATACCTTCCAAACGCTACCTACGTACCAAGGCACTAGTAGATTATTCCGAATTTGTCTACTGTGCAAAGTTGGCCATTAGGGTTCGAGCTAGTGGAGTGCTGTTAGAAATTTAGGCTACCGACTATTTGACAGAAAACAACCCAATGACAATACCGACGATTTTGTTGGATTTTTCACACAGACTACACACTAGAACCGATACTCACAACACGTCCCTCGCATCACACTGCTTGTTTGTTTATACCCTAGATGAACAAGCTGCTAGTGCATCACTGCAATGAGTTTTCCTTCCTAATTCAGTATATCGTAGCGAGCTGGTCTGTACTAAGAGCAACTGGCTTCTTTTGAAAACACGATATTGGAGCACCTTGTATTTCGTATTCAAGATGAACATTCTGAGTATTCCGTACATTACGTTAGTCGTACGAGAGGACGCCCGCTTACGAGGGTCGAAGGATGTCTGTCCACTCATACTAGGACGAAGAGTGCAGAAACCACTAATTCAAAACGGAATATACAGTGAACGAGGACAATGCTTCCAAAACCATATGTTGTATTCGAACAAATGGACCAAACATATCTAGACAGCTGACAGTCTTCATGTTTGAGGGGGTGGGTCATACATTTGTCTGTTCGGCTGTCCCTGATTTAACAAGGAGTACTTGTCCACGTACGATTAACAACCAGGGTTACGCAAACATACGAAAGTACGCAAACTGTTGTTCCAACGGGCTTTGGACCATTCAGAACTTCGAAGATTTTTTTCACCTGATATGCTTCACCAATTTCATGATGATATATGCGATTACTGACCCGTTTAGATGCACCGAAAACACATGCTTGCTATTTTTATATTCTATATTAGCAGTAGCCATACTTTAGACCATCCGTGCACTTCGTCGCTCAGTTTAGCATAAGCTCAAAACCAGCGCCTAAATTATTTTCCTGATATCAAACAGCTAGTTACGTGGGTTTCAGTGGCGTTAAATTGACCGCTTGATACAAGCCTGCATTGAATTGTGTCAAAAAAATGGAGTTTCCTCAGTTCTTCTGTCTCGGTGTTCGTCTACAGTGTCAGGAATCTGTTGAGGATGCAACTGACTTTTTGACGCTGTGCTTTTGTGAAATAGATAGCCCTTATCTCGTTTGAATTCAACTGACTGATCACTGTTCAGTGGTTATGGCTTTCACTCAAACAGCCATTTTACTTTACTTCTGGAATTCACCGCAATATGCAAGTCTTTGTATGAATATACCTTAATGCGCGTGTGAACACCGGTCCGACGGGGTTTGTGGTAGGCCGCAACTATGAACGGGCATCGACCCAAGCGCGAGGGTAGTTGTAGATTCAAAAATTTTTCACTAGATGACTGTCGCCTGGTTGGCATGAAAAGCATCATACATCGGGTACTGCACAGATTGCGCTCTGTACCAGCATTACGGAATGGTCGGGACTCCTATACAGGGGTGAAATAAGACCATACGGAGATATAGAAGGGTTCACGGGAGCTAAAAGGTAGCTTCTCAGGACAGCGTGAGTCCTGCGGCGCTGCGGCGCGTGGACTATGAAGCGAATTTCAACAATCGAATCTGGCTGGACGCCCGATAGTTAGCAAAATTTTTGGGAAATTAATAAATACTTCAGCGGTTGTCATGACAACAGAAAATACAATCAGAGCATATAAGAAAACAAGTCTAACTGGAAGTTACGCATAAGCATGGGTATGGACCTCATAGAAATGATGCTGAGTCGTGTCTATTGAGCTCAATGCCTGAAGAGCGGAAGAGAGGTTTCTGGAGAATATGTCAGGTAAATTGCTCACTTACATCCTATTCAGAAGGAGTAGAAAGCATAAGTCATGGTATTCTAATGTGATGGAAAAGTACAACATACTGGCGTTTCAAGATGATCACAATGCCATGGTGGTTTTACTTTGTTTTAGTTCATCCTGTTCAGACTCGGCGAAGTAATTATCTCCGTCGACATCCTCATCAATGCTAGTACCGATCAAATTGCTGCTTCGTATGGTCTGATTGCGTCGCATGATGGCCAAAGCTGCACCAGAACGTCGTTTTCCGGGCAGGTTTGACGTAATCCTCGAGATGGTCGGCTTCTGTCTCGTGTAGGCTGTGGTCAAACTCTGAAGAGCATCGTCCTTCCCAGAAACCGAGTCAGCTGCATATGAGGAAGGGGCTGCAGACGGTAATTTGAGTGGACCGGAATGTAACTGGTTTCGCCACCAGTTCTTGACATCCTCACAGAATTTTACAGGAGACTGGTTTTCCGCGGTCGAAGAATCCCCCCATGGTTTGCTTGGTACCATCACAGTTAGATCAGCACGCGCGCTGGCGACATTGGCACCCAATTGCGATTTCGCACCTTCGTCAATGCTCACTTTTTGACGCTTGCGCTCTTCAGTCTGTGACCTGGATGAGGCAGTATCAAATGTGGTCGCCGAAGGTGATAAAGTTTCCCAGTCTTCTGTCAAGTTTACAACTTCGTTTTCCGCTTTAACGTTGGAACAAGTGTAAACCAGTTGTAACTCACTCGGTTCGTTGCTGTCTTCCACAACATCAGGAAGGTGTGCAACCCTAGAATAGCCGGGAACACTGCGGCGAGATTTAGTGATTTGTACCTTTTTATCTGAGTTAGTTTTAGACCGACGTCCATCACTGATCATGGTATCCTCATCACTCAAATTCGTGTAATGTTGTTCGGTGATGTAGTTTTCAGTTGTCGATTTGTTGGAGCTGGCTAAAGCCTTGTCATCAGCCTGATCCACTCTTGCCAAAGCACCTTTATTTTCGCACGTATCAACAAACGTGGGAACCAGAGTATGTCTGCCTGGTTTCCCCAAAGTGTTGATTTTGGCCGAGCGTCCGCCAGCTAAGGAGTTTGGGATAAGTGCTGAGGCTTTGAAGTGACTATTGGGTTGTTTTTCTGTAGTGACCTGAGGTGTTGCCAGGGGCTGTGGAGGAATAGCATATTCTCCCAGGGGCTCCATATCAAGTTCACCCTCCTCTGCCTCTAACAAGGCCAAACATTCGTCCTTGTTGGTGCTTACAGATTTCCGTAGCCGCCTTCCCGAATGTTGCAAGTTTGCAGTCGGAGTTAGCATAGGGGCATTTATCATGTGGGCACGTTCGTTGCTGGCTCCAAAGGGTTGCTCCATGGCACGGCTGCTTTCTCGACGGGCTTTCAGTGTATTGGATATCACGGACGCCTTTTTCCCTGTCGGGGTCATTTGTTGGACACGTTGCGAAACGCCATCGGTACCATCAGTCTCATCCACGCTCAAGCTCATTTGGCGGTCTGCGGCTTGATGCATTTTGAAGTTAAGGTGTCCATGTTTCTACAGTAAGGAAGTCGAACAGAATATCAGGAAAACCTTGCAAACTTCTTTTTACTCCAACGATTGCACTAAATGGGTTTGGCATAAAGATGTCATGAATATGACGTACGGTAACAAACGAAAAATAAAGGAAACGAAAAAGTTTTGTGGAGTTGGGGAACAGTTCTTCGCTTTGCTTGCAATTAAATTCGATCGGCCGTACCGGCTCATGGGAAGAGAGATGACAAGTGAAGCCAAGCGTGTTTCGGTGAATCATCCTGGAGTTTGTTTTTCACCCTGGTCCGCAAGTTAGCTTGAAGATGCCTATCTAGCTAACCAGAAAACCCTTGAAGCCAAACCGTGCTCAATTGTTGATTCGGTCAGGATCTTGATAGGTAGTGAGGTTACATGTACGTGGCAATAGCTGGGATGATTTTGAAATGAAACTTGGCGTTCGCCAAATACACTTCCTTTCAAACACATCTGGTTTTGAACGAGAGACTCAGATGGACACCAGCTGAATCTCTCGTTAGAAACCACATTTGTGTACAAAAGGGTGTATTCCGCAAACTCCTTACAATTTTGGTTGACAGAACCTCGCAGACTGTATCTAACTGTTGAGCCCTACGAATGCTGAACCCGGTCGTAGGCTGTCAAAGAGAAATCAGCAACCTTATAAGTAGCTTCCTTCAAGAAAGCAGATGGTGGTGATGTGTTGGAATATTGGTAGTTCGGATGTGTTGCTTGGCGGTTGACAGGCCTCTGTCCATCGAGCTTGGCAACCGACTTGCTGACATTTCGTCACCATTCGAGGAGACATCATCGGTGCACTGTTGAGTGCGTGGTTCCTCCCTCCATGCTTGTGCTTATATAGCTTGCAAATAGTAGCTATAAGTTATAACCTGATTGGCCATTGATAATCATCTCACCTAAAGTGTGGTTGGTCCAACCTTGATATGTGTTGCACCGTAATCAGTATTGCTTGCGTCCGAATACTGCGCTGGTTGGTCCGTCCGGGGTCTCTATTGCGTCAGGGCCCACCTTCGTGTTGTTTGATTGGTAGACGGTGTACTTCGTTTTACTTAGCATCTGTCTGCCTTTATCCTGATCGGCTAATTCTCGGCTTGCGGTTTAATGTTTTGAGCCCTCTGTGAGTCTCGTTTGGTTCTCGGCTCTGGTGATCCTATTAACTCGGATGTCTTTTTATTTTAGTTTTCCTAACGGTGTAATTGACCTCTTCAACGATTCATTTTCGCAGCCCTAATCTACTCAAAATCAATAGGTGAGTTCCATTAATTGGCCGATTCCAAAGATTTACCTGTGTGGCAGATAAACGATCGGTATTCTGTCTTCAGACAATACGATGGCTTATTCCTCCAGGATGTTATTGCCTGAATAGAGTACCACATGAGTGAACCCGCAACGTGTTTCAACAATTTGCAGTATTTTGTTATCATTCTATCATTAATGCAAGTTGCTAGATCAATCGTCACTCAGCACTAGTCGGCGAGGTCTCTTTCAACCAGTCTTCATATGCTTGCTAATTCAATCCCTTCTATTCTACTCATACCGGGAAGCTTGGTGAATACACATCAGTCGTTGTGGTGTAGTCTTCAATTTGAATCCACAGGAAGATGCGGGGCATCTTCCTGCCACTACCGAGTTTTTAACCACCGCTCGAGATTCATCTACATTTCCTGAGTTTCTTCTCGCATGCCCATCGATTTGAGTGCGAAGCGTGTTCTTTTAAGATCCAAATTGGTCCGACATTCGGTCAGCTTTTGTGCATAATACTTTTATTCGGCCAAACATTAACGAAGCCGACAAGTTTAAAATTGCACTGGTATCAGTTGGCTTATAGTTTTCCACCAGTTTGACGTGTCGTGCAGTACAAAAGTTGACTGTCGTTCCACACGGGATTCGGCATGAGGATTTAAGCTATAGAGGTAATGGTAAAATCCATCATCCAATCCCGAACGATCTGAACGTATTAGCCCCGTAGATTTATGTCATGTGTGCCGCATACGTGATAAGAATGATAAGAGTAGCTAGCACATAAGAAGGCCATCCACATGGCCTTTTAGGGAAGAAAACCATGACTCCGAAAGCCAGTACTTAAAATTCAATTTAGAGTAAGTCCATTGCACAGCCCAGCTTTCTCTCACCCGTATATTTATTTGTTGATATTCCCGGTTGGAATGAAGCTGGCACCACCTCTTTGACTGAACCTTCTAAGACGATGTAGTGCTGTTCCCGGGTTTCAACACTTAAATATCTTCCTCGAGGCCAAGGCAGACCAGCTGCCCGCACTCACTTGTGCATTACCTCTGACAGACCGACAATTCAAGAAGCTGTGACAGGACTGGTTCGGGAGTTTAGGCGCTCAAACTTCCAATACTACATGTTCAAACAAGAAATGCAGTGAACGAACGTGATGACTGAACTCGTAAACTGTAGTAGTCATCTTGACGCCAGAATACCTCAAAGAAATCTCTTTGTGCAGTATACAGCAATCAGAAGGTATTCAGTTTTCTTTTGGTAGTGACATGCCGCACATCACAAACCTAAAATGCCCTTTCATTTGTTCGAATATTTGCCTATCAGAAAATATTGTTATTGCTAGGTTAGCTACACCACAACTCCGCTCGCCGTCGCTGCTTTTATCCATATATTATACACTACTCATAAGTAGCGTGCTGGAAACCGATGATGCAAATACCGCATACCAGTATCCTCAATGCAGTTCGTTTGGTTTCCAATAGTTTCTGGATACTGGAGAATGCGCTTTCCGTGAACCTCTGTCATAGAAACAACGCTTTTCTGAAAGGCAGGGCTTTGGGTGTTCAGCTTGACTTGCTTTTTCAGCCATGGACGATAAGGGACCAAGAATAGTGTCGGGGATGGCGGTGGGAGTGCACAGATGAACTTAAGACCGTCACCGGTTTGTTCAGCTTGATATACAATGAACGCATCAAACAACCGTTTAAATAAGTGTTTCACTGCACACACTGCCTTAATAATTCGTTAATGTAACATAACCTGCTAATTTACAGCTTTCTCCCGCCCCGATCCTGACACCCACATTTTTTGCGTTGACTGATTCTGACTGGGACTCAGTCGGTCCCAGTATTTCCCTGGATCTCTGCCGCCCATGATCAACAATCCATAGTAAGTTCAGCGCAGTGTCAACCAATCCTGAAGGCTAAAAGGTCTCCTCTAAACGAACAATCTTCAAGCATGCATAGAATATATCTGGCAGGTCGAATCACTGTCAGTCAGCTGCCCTCTTGACGCCTTGCCACATGCTATGCACCATACTTCTGCAGTGAAGACACGATGATCCCACTATACTTGCAATGCTTCATGGACGCCGACAACCGAATTCAGGTATTTGTTTTCTGTTTTTAGCAAACAGTAATTCAGTTTTAGGCATAAACTCCTTGTCGTACTGTACACCATCATTCATCGACGAGCTGCTAGCACGCCACTGCTATGGATGATTACATTGAAGGAAGACAGGACGGTATGTTGCAGTTCCATTCTTCACTTCAATATCAACGCAACCGACAGAAACTAGACGGAGGAAAATTCAGAAATCGCCCCACAACCAACAATGCTATACGGCAGTGATTACGTATAATCTTGCTGATTTGTAAGTTTGGAAGAAAAGAAGAGAGGACAGCCATTACAAACAAACACGTGCTGACAATTGACAGAGTTAGGTAAGCACGACGGGGACTTCAGGAGAAAACTAGTCCGCTGGACACTGCCACGAGCTAGCGCAATTTACTGAGTCCAAAGGACAGAATTTCTCACCCAAATGTTGTCTACTTCTACTGAGCCAACCATTTTGGATTCAGCTGAGCTGCTTACATGTATGACCATGGTAGTCGTGGATCTGTTTCGTTATATACAGCACACGTTTTCTCTAAGGAAGATTGAGTGCGGTCAAGAGAAGTTCAGCGCAATTCACTTTGACGGCACTCGATGTTGTTGTGTAGGACAAGCAGTGTTGGTGCAAGCGTGAAGTACTAAACAACGGCAACTGTAAGACTTTATTCACACTATCTAAACGACTAACCTGAAAAATATGTGACCCCTCTACCGGAACCACAGAGAGTACGCCATCCAAATTTTGATGACTGTCGTTTTCGACGAAACTTTATGAGGACTTAATGCAAACAGTGCCTCGGCACTGAAGAAGACAAAACCTTCACATCATCGACTACAACCTGTAGAGCACCACAAAAGTTGTTCCCGTTCAACCTCTAACCGGTAAACAGTTTCCGATGAAAAAATTGGCCCTAATTATGGTTCTACGGGTTGTCAAAGTGGACTAACCACTACACCAGTTTCTGTAAGATGGAAATTTTCCCGCGTGCAAAGTATGTGTGCGATTGTCTCCGCTTTACGAACTAAATGGAAAAGAACATAATGGGGTGCTATGTTGGATGATGGTGGTGCATCCTCTCGGTAGCCCAAATCCTTAGCAAACGTGAAACACCTTCATCGGGTACTTTCGACAAGAAAGAACTAGAGAGCGAGAGCGAAACATTTGCACTCACCTGCCGGTTTCGGAAAATACATCGCTCGATCCAGGCCGCAATCGTCTGGCGTGCAACTTCTTCTTCAATGGCATACTCCAACTCTTCCCGAGCGATTAGTTCTTCCAGCTGCAACGTTTTTGTGATATCCACGGTCCGATAGGCAAGGACCCTAAAAATGGGGTTGCATCAGGTTTGGTTGGTGTTGAAAATAGTTGGTAATGCCGGGGTAAAACGAAATCCAGAGTAAGACTACATAACCATATAGCAAAAGATGCCACGCGAATCATGATTAATACACCTTAATAATACAACCTCAAGTAATAGTGACTGTTTCGTCTGCACCACTGATCCTACTGCCTCATTTTCAAGATAAAAGTAGTTCATTCTTGTTTCACCCAACGAACAACTATCGTCTGGATGCCCCCATAAAAAAATTGGATAAAGAGACACACGTTAATTTTACTGTCTCTGTGGGACCATATTAGCCGGACCACCTGAGTGAGTGGTTTGGTTTCAAATTCCGAAACCTGCACGTCATGTGCTTGGGATGTACATTCCACGGCACAACCCTATGAAAAACTGGAATCAACTGAGCAAGTTATTATGAGTTGACTGGATCTGGCGTGCGTAAGACCGAAACTCCCGATGGCAGGGGTTGAGGGCGTTGGCGTGGTCGTTGTTGTTGAGCCTGATTTTTCTGTTGCTGCGGTTCGCACTGCCGCCTCCATTAGGATCAACGGTATGTCTATTACAAGAATTCCAATCTGGTTTAGCAGTGAGTTCAGCTTTGTTGACTGTGCACACAGATTTTTCTATCCGCCATAGGTTTCGTGTGTGTGCACCGGACACGTACTTCAGATTGCCTGCGGGTTTCATCCATATAGCGTGTGTGCTCATCGCCACAGCAGATTCCGTATGTACAAGTCACTTGATGGTGTGAGGTGTTGCCCCAATGTTTTGTCATTTTTGGAGATATTCTGAAAATCCAATTCCGGTGAGACCATGCCAGTTTTCCCGGTGCTACTTTTTCCGTATAACATCCGCACCTCCCAAGTTTTGCCATGCTCCGCTACGGTTGATAGCCTTCCCGACGAATGAGATAGGACTGTCATTCTCCCCTGGTGTATTTGTCACTGCTGAGTTCTTCGTCGGAACAGATCTAGTTTACTCTGTTCATTGCAACAACCGTTTGGATTCTAACTGATTAGGACGAGGGTAAGGCTACACATAGACCGGAATGGTTTGGCAAAAAACTGCGCTTCGGTGAATCATACAAAACAGCCTAAGAATAGGAGTGTGAACTGAGTACTAAAATAAAGTTGCAAATAGAGCTGCGCCATTAAAAAAACACAATGATCGCATCAAACGGTCACCAATACAAAGCTACCGAATACTCAAAATGTGTCAGTGTCTCAAACTCAGGACGTCACAGAACACTGTTCGCCATAATTCGTTAGCTCATGGCTACTATATCTGCCTTTTTGTTCAGTGTGCTTGTAGCTGAAAGTTGTTCGCAGTCGATATCTGATGATGATAACATTCTGCTTCACCTGTAATTCAAATGCGTTGTGAATGCAATTTTCTGCGCCACCCTCCAAGACGATCCTCACAAACTACGCAGAAAATTGTATCATTTTCATGACTCATTGTATTGTGTTACTGCCAAACGAATGCTCCGCGAACACAAACATCCAAGCACGTTGCTCGTTTCCAGATATCGCGACCACAATGTCTGCACCATTTCCAAACGGAAAAGTGATTGAAAAGAAAACCAAAGGAGACATGGAAAACAAATAATCAGTAAAAGTGTTGGAGGATGAAGCTAAAAATTCATCTCAGGGTGCATCAGAATTTCTAGAATTCAACGGGCGACATCCCTCATGATCATCTCAGCGCTTTAATACAACCAGACAGTTACTTCCCTGTAAAGTGTGTTTGACACCCGTAATTAAGAGTTATGATTATCGTACAAAATCAAAAATTCAGATTTTTTATAGAAGAACAAGATGATTTCCTTAGGAAAGTTGAAGAAAGCTGAATCAGTCAGAACCATCTCAGTCCGATGAAAAATCAAGGAAACGCACAAATATCGCCCTGGTCGGAGGGCGGTGAAAACAGGATGGGTATTGCGAATGACAGTATAAACATCCGCTTTTTACTTGCTCAATTTTTTACAGCCTCACTTGAATTGACACCAGTGTGTTGGTTACGAAAATTCTTCGCCGATGTACCGATAAAAGTGAGATATTGGGGGGTAGTGTTACCCATCAGTTTCTACCCCAAAAACAGCTGGGAGAAATTTCATTGGCAAAGACGTTACCCTGATTAAAAGCTCAACGGAAGGGGGAAACAGCATCAAGCGTTGAGTGTGTGGAAATATCACTTGGGAACAATCAACAGAAATGTCATAGATGCAGAAACACATTTAAAAGAAAGCCGAACAAATGCTCAGTTATTGAGAAAATCACTGCCTTCCTCACTTTTTATATCTATTTTGATGGAGACCACCAATAAAAAGTCATGTTTGGCTTTCTTCAAAGGAGGAAGGTTGTGTAGTAGTGCACCCGCTATTGAATTCGGCTACTATTGAATTACAACTTGGTGAAGTAAGGATACACATGAGAGCGTTCCCCGATCCTTTGGTTGTCTGTCACATTCTTCGGATTAATGAAGTCAGTTACGACCCACGGAAGACGTTCACTTGCACAAGAATCATACAAAGGGTGTCCTTTTCGCGTGCATTTGGGCTAGTCAGTCCAACAAAGAAGCTGCCGTTCGCCTCAGAACACACAATCCAAACAACCAACAAAGACCCAAGTGGCACAATACAATGGAAATGTTTTTATTTGCCTTGTCTACACAATGCTTGAACGCTTGCTTTAGGTATCCTGCTAGAGATCAGTATATACTGCCTGTTCTTTTCACATTCCATGTAATTCATCATTATGTCATTCAAACGTTTAGGTCACACGAATCTCTTACCTTTGTCCACGTCTTTTTTTGATGCTACAGCATATCAATCCTGGATAAACTACGCACTATGACTTCTTGTTTTATCGGCGAAGTGGATAAAGAGAATCAGTTTCCTTAAAATAATGGACCATACATAAAATGGGACATAGAAACGAAAGTGACTTACATGAGCACATCATGGAAGCTGACATCTTTTTCTCGTCCACCTCGGAGCGTCTCGACTTCGTAACACATTTCCTTGAAGAGCTGCTGATCTTTTTTCTTGGACAAGTCAAACCCCACGCGCTCCCGAGGGATTAGCCGCAAGAGGAATCGTACGTAGGAAGCTTTGATCACACCCTGATCAGAATTGGTAATATAGGCAGGTTTTGCAGCCACAAATATGATAGGTCAAAACCAGGCTAGGAAATTCGAACCAGTCGTATGTCGTGGGACCAGATTAGACAATTTAACTGGAACACTAAACTAAACAAGAAACTAACAGGACTTTTTCTAACCAGATCATCCGTTACCCAACATTACAGGTCCACGCGGAGGATGAAATTCCGAAAGGATTGTCTGGGCAAAACTTCACCTGGATATCGAAAGTCTGTAAAAGAGATATGTTTTGTTCAACTGACCATCAGATTACTTAGGGCCCTCTCAATGCTGGTCAACAAAATCGTCAGTTCAGAGTCACTCACTAATATTGCTGGGTACTGAGAAGCCCATCCCATCTACTGTGCACTTTGGTGAAGAAGCTTAGCTGTGTATCTACAATGAGATGCCGCGGAGCCTTGACGTGAGTACTGTTTGCTTGCTTCATGGGATTACCTACCACATATTCTAGATTCTACCTCAACTCTAACCAAGGTTGATGCCGCAGTGCAAATGTTCAGCGGGTTGGTTATTATTGACAAAACAGTCAAAAACATTCCATAATATTTTCATACTAAGTCTTCCCAACTTGTAAACAAGCTATTCGGGAATAAAAGCACCAAAGATAATACACTCAGTTGCAAATTAACGGGCAACTCAACTGGATCACAGCTGAATCCGTCGTTCATGTGTTGCACAAAGGCCCGCTCATGTTTCAGCTGATAGGCTGCTGAGAAGCTGCCGGAATTTCTGAGTACTGTGTTCCGTGAAAAGATAACTCAAAACAAGCTGTAGGCCTCCCGCTGAGTAGTCGTCATCTGTGGAGCTAGTCATGGAATGAAAATGTGGGACAGTAAGGATGAATGGTACCATGCTGATTCGGCCACCCGTTCAACTTTCGACGGGAAGGTTGCTACTGCTATTATTAGTATTCGAGGGAGTCACGGAGTCATGCGCCACTGGTGATGAGAACAATATGGCTCAGCTGTAGCACCCTTTCGGTGCCTAGCCGCCAGGCCACCCGAAGGAAGCACGAAGGCCAAGATACTGCGAGGTTGCCCAAGCAGGAGTAGTTGGAATGCAGAGGTCAGGTTCGAATCACGGACCTTCCGGTCAGTAAGTTCGCGCCTAAACCACTGAGATGAGGGAGGACTTGGCTTTGCCTAACAACCTGAGTTGGCCTCATGCGACAAATTCCGGAATTAACACAAACGGCATGCACTGGACAGTGAAGTAAATAAGCATGGAACGCCCCTTAGCTGGTGTTTCACGAATGGTCGTAAGCACTGAGTTCAGTGAGGCACAGACCGCAAACTAAACAAAATATTGTCTGCAGAATAAAGTGATTGTGTTATTTCTTGCCATGGCAGGGTTGACGATTTAACTGCTCATCCAATCATATTTACAATCTGATCGAAAACAGTGTGTTGTGCACACGTAAGAATGCCACCCACTCACACAAGCAAGCAAGCACCAGCATACGCACATGCACACATATTACACAAAATTCACCAACTAACCTTTCGATTCACGTCAATGACATTCCAGGCCAGCTGGAAATTACGAATGTCATTATAGCTCATGATGGCATCCTCATCGTTCGAATAGAACAGTGAGAAGTTTTCCATGATAATGGCTGTGAAGCAAGCGAAGGGGGTGGTGGTAATTAAATCATGTCCTCGGCAATGACAAACTAATCCAGAAAAATTGATAGGAATGCTCTTTTCTAAAGGGTAAACATCTTGGAGTATCAGTCAGTACTCATTACTTAAGCAATTCATCTAACGGTACATCACTATCCCGCGATTCTGCGAATTGTGTGCCCTCCCCTAACCGACAGCAATATACTCAGCAGAACTAAGCCATTGTGTGTGTGTTTTATCCAGACACATAATGGAATCAGGCTTTCTGGCTCCAGAAAACCATTGGGAAAATGCTACGACGGTAAATGTCCGAGATTTACCAACAAGACTACCACCGTCAATCCCTATACCGCGTTGGAGGATAACGCAAGGTGTCAGGGGAAAAATCCGAGAAAATAACTTACCAACTAGTACGTTCAACATGACGTATGTGATGATCACATAGAACGAACAAAAGTAGATAAGCGCAGCCCGGAAATTCCCACAGTCTGTCTCCCAGAAGTTGGGACGCATTCGGCAAAACGGTGGTTGGATCATACAGTCGTGCATGATTTTGTTCCAATCCTCGCCTGTGACAATTCGCGTAAGCAGGGCGGTGGCGCGGAATGCATTGTGGAAGTTTGCGTGCCTTCCTAAATTGTCTCCGTATTTGACAGAGCCAAAAAGTGTCACCCCAGCCAGCGCATAGACAATCATCAGAAGAAACATGCTAGTGATGATAAATAGCGATTTGTACATCGACATAATGACTGTCAACATGAGCATCTTCAGGGTAACCTGTACAACACCAGAAAGAGTAAATCAGGAACCGCAAAATAAATAAATGAATAAGAAGATTGTGGGTGATGCAGTTAAAATATAGTTTCCATGCAACCCCCCTTGAAATAAACGTACGATGCATGTGGAGCTGGTTTGAGTCTCCTGTTAATACTGATCGAGTTAGTAGCCAGTGGGTAGAGGGCTGTTAGGTTCCCGCTAGTTGTTGCAACGCTGCCAGCATATTCATTCCGATTGGCATTGACCAGTCAGGAGTTCATATTTAATTTTTTTGCCCGAGTTGTAAAGTACTAACAGGGCTGATTGGCACGCAGACATCTAGTGGCTTGGAAGCTGTGCACCAAATTGCTGGTCGTTGGCAGTTAAAAATTTGGAATGCACTTCACTAGAGGGAAGATGAGGATATTCTCGCACCTGAGCAACCTGGATGACTCAGCTTGAGTGGACTGGGTCGCACGAAAAGATGCGGAAGCAGTGAGATTCGAATCTGACGTCGGCTCTCCACTGTTTGTGATTTCCGGGGCGCGCAAGATGCAAATATGTCACCTGGTCACTGCGGAGCTTCTAACGTAAGGAGAAGGTACCAAAATCACCTACTCAAGTCCTTTTCGGACAATGAGTCTTCTGAGGTTACCTTTCACTGAAGGTCACTGAAAGATGCCAACTGCTCTGCTTGTTGGACTGCACAACCAACTACATATAAGCATTGGATCTCGAGCAACACTCAACAACTGGTGGATCTGGAATTCCTCCTACATGAAAGTGCAGTACAAGTCAGCGAAGTATTGGACATCAGGTAAACGTAGAGTCTACATGGATCAAGAAAATCGGTGGGCAAAGGAAGCTGAAGAGATGGAAAAAGCGAGAAATCCTGCGAACGTGCGGAAACTATCCTAACTAATACCCGCGGCGGGCCTCAGAAAGGCATCTGACGAACGAAACAACCAGCGATAAAGATGGTTCACTCCTCCCTGAAGAAAGCGCCTAAATCGCTGGGCTGAAGACTTCTACCAATAAATTAACTGTCACCTACAGTTGTTCAGTCGGAGTCTTAACCAACAACAGTGCGAAGGCTTTACAGATGCACGAAAATCTTTTCTCCTCCAAGCGCCACCGAATCACTGATCCTGAAATACTTTCACCCGCTCTGTTAAAGGATGGAGATGACAACCTCTATCGGTGCTTGTCTTTGTTATTTACCTCTATCCGGGTTAGAGTAAGCGTGCAAGCCAACTGGAGTGAATCGACAGTGAAGCCTATTTTCAAAATGGTCGCACTTTCAGTCGGAGTCTTAACCAACAACAGTGCGAAGGCTTTACAGATGCACGAAAATCTTTTCTCCTCCAAGCGCCACCGAATCACTGATCCTGAAATACTTTCACCCGCTCTGTTAAAGGATGGAGATGACAACCTCTATCGGTGCTTGTCTTTGTTATTTACCTCTATCCGGGTTAGAGTAAGCGTGCAAGCCAACTGGAGTGAATCGACAGTGAAGCCTATTTTCAAAAAAAGTTGGTCGCACTTAATGTGGCAAACCCATAGTGATTAGCTTGACCACCTCGATGTAACTTTACTCTTCGGGTTGCTTGGTGTCCGACTCTTTGAAGAAACTGAACCTTATCACGGTGGGACCTCCATAACCCATTGCGCTACACTGGGGAGTTTACGTGTGAGACTTACAGAGCCTACCATACCAGGGCGGTTAACGGGAAGAGGTCTGATTAACAGAGTTTCTTGGTCCCCGGATTCTCCAAGTTCAAGGTTGGAAAATTTGTGGTGACTTCATGCTAAAAAATGCAGGCTACTCTGAAGGTCTTGCGCCAACCGCAGCTTCCAAAGAATTACGCTAATGTCTAGGTATGGACACTCTGGCAGTATCCCAGCCCACAGACAACCATGAATTGCATACTTACAAATAATCCCCTGCCATATCAGCAGTCGCGTGGTGCCATCAGCCGAGTCACCTTACTTGCTGCATACAGCAGGGTAGGGAAGCGAAAACAAGCTAATGCTGATGCCTCCCATATTACCCTTCAACATATTCGCTTTTCTTTCCCTCCTGAACCCGTTGCCAGCGACACCTACGTGTGCCCATTCTTAAGGACTGGACTATCCTTCGCCGCTCATAATTGCTGACTCCATTATCTACAGATAACTCAATCGCCATGGACATAAGCATTTCAAAATCAGTCTTCAAACCCCAACGCTCGGTCCAACTGTCAGCCTTTATATTCAGTGCGATTACACCCAGACTTTCTGATTGAGTGCTGGAGGTAAAGGCATTTCGGACGTTTGTGGTAGGCAAGCCTCAGCTCCTTTCCCTGTCCAGTTTCATTTTTTCGTGATAAGGCTTTCTTCAAATAATCTGACATCATTTTACGGCAGAGAAGGACGAGCGTTCCCCTCTGGTTTTTGCTGCCAATGATTATGGTGATAATGGCAATGAGTGGTATCCTTCATTTTTTAAGTTCGAGATTGATGAGGAAAAACCCGGAGGGCCACCAAAGCCCTGCAATTAAGCCCTTTCCGAGCAGGAACTCTGTTGACCTTGAGTATGAAGACCACATTGCCATCATTTTTTTAAAGAAAGGCGAGAAGAGCAAGCAACACAAGAAGAGCTGACCAAGGTCGGTCAATCCTTCGTCATGTGCGAAGGCAAGCCAAGGGATTATAGTCTTTGAACCTGCATAGAATTCAAGGAATGACACTAGAAGTTGTGTAGCGCTATACGTGTTTGCATCAGCACTCACTGTAGTGTGACGGATGAAGTGAACGTTTGAACCTTAAACCCATAATTGTTTTTTGCTGATTGTGCGACATTCTCAAGTGACGGGCTGAAATTCCCGGGTATAACTAACCAGGTTGGAGACAGATAAGATTAAAGAAAAGCTCAAGGTCTTTGGAACACTCGAATTACACATCAACTGCACTGTTCACAGATATATACAATGTCTTGGCATGCCACTAAATGGTATGCAGACCATCTACAGTTAAAGGGATGTTGCGAAAATGAAAAATCACGCTCCAGACGGACGGTAATAGGTACCAACTAGCCAAAAAAGGAGTGAATGATTTCCGAAGACTTACGTGTCTACCAGCAATGGTGAAGAAACGGAGAATCAGTACAGACCACCCGAAGCTGTTACTAATCCAGTGGTAATCCTGAAACGTGAGGATAAGATCAGAAGGAGGGTTAAATGACCGCAAACGGGAAGCCAGATAAAACAATCCTGACGCAATACAGGGCTCTTGCTCAGATTAAAAAAAAAACGAAAATACCGATTATTGTGATCAGTTTCACGAGGCCGGCCCACATTAAGGTAAGAAGGGATGTTCTCAGGTAGAGATAACGGTTACTAAGACTTAGGTAACCAAAGGGAGACTAAAGCTGTTTCTAGCCATCTTTTTGTTGTCACTTGTTCTACTTCGAATAAACCTACCAAACCCTACCATTACAATATGCTTTCTGAATGCGAAGGAATTTCCTCCAATTCTATACTATCCAGTCCATTAACAACTGCATGTAGTTTCCCACTCTGGGAAAACACACTTGTGCTCAGCACTGCAGTACACCAAGGCCCAGTCATTTAACCCCGCCCGGAAAACTGGAAAAGTGCAAAATAAATGAATGTGGCTACTTGGATTAGACTTTATGATAAAGGATTTTACGACCAGTAGCGTTTGAATGGTTTTCCAGTATTGTTCAGGCAAAATGTACTATGCTTTTTTCAAGTGATTTTTCACGTGAATCTACGATTAGATAGATCATGTATTTGGCAGTTATAGATGCTCACTGGTTGTCACTGCAAACGCCTTTTCTCCCACTTAGTGCAACCGGATTAGTAGACTCGGCCGGTAGCTATCTCGGAAGATCCTAACAGAGCTACACTGATTTCTTTGCTGTCTTTGTAAGTGTAGCTGAAGTGGGTCAAGAGCACTGCTCGTAACCCATCAAACCAATTCATTCCCCGATCTTGTCATGCAACGAGGACGCCGGTTCGATACTGCAAGATGACCTACCATCAGATGAAGTAGGTTAGATTTAGAGATATCAACAGGTTTACTGTTTTCTTCAGTAACAAGGGACATTCATATGGGGGCCTACGCGAAGATGAAGGTCAGCAAGTTATCCTTAGCAAGCATCTGGCATTACAAGAACGAGGTGCATTTTCGAAAACGTGTTGTCAGGCTATTGATTAACTCATAGGGCGTCGTAGTGCAACGATGGATACTACTGGTGAAGCATACGAGTAACATGTTTTCTCGCATATCCGCTTCTCGTCTATTGGAAAGTGGGATTTATCACGGATCTTGTGGGATTGCTTTATAGCATTCGCTTACATTTGAGTGGTAGTCAATGATTATCCAGGAAAGTTCAAGATGACGCATTCAAGAGGAAGACGGATATTCAGTTTTCATAAGCAAGATGCATATGAGAGTTTTGCTTTACTGTCTTATAGTCTGTAACTATTCAGTTGGTATTTTTAATGAATAACTCCACAGCGAAGGACTTCTTCCTTTCAGTAGTATTAAAAAGCGTCGCCAGTAAACCAAATGCACCGGCCAAGCAGTTTTCAGTATGACTGACAAGTCTGGTGCAATAAGATCGGTTTTAGCGATAGACCTGGGAGTTGTGTACCGAATCGTCCGGGGCGCCTTCACTGCAAACGCTTCAAGTAAGTCAAACTGCAGGTGGAAACGTGACAAGCGCTGAATTCCAAAATCTCTGGATTGGTTTAGAACACACAGCGGTGCATTGACTATATCCTAGTTGCTTGATGATTGAAAAAGACCCATCACGCGTACAAAATGGCTGAAATTCAGTACGGCTACTTTTGTTTGTTCGTTCGGCAGAAAGCATGGAATGACGAGACGCATATAAAGCAAAAACTTTGTAAGCAGAAAACGTCCATATTCCAAATCAATCTGGAACTGCGTTGCCTTCCCAAGTTATTTTCGGACATAATGGACGTGGCTGCGCCATTTCAACGTCCCCCATTGACAGCGTGACCGTGTGAACATTTGACAGCAAAAAGAAACCTGTCTTAAAAATGGATGGGTGTGCCAGTCAGGATGTGATGTCTGGTGTGTGATCGGTTTTAGTGCTGACGTCTGTCTCAACGTCTGTCTCCTTCAGGCCAAGACTAGATGTTTTCTACAACGTTTCTTATTTCAAGGAATCAAGACGTCTACGAAGTGGATTAAAAATGTTTGGAATTGAAGTAAGCGCCACAAAGAATGGCGTCAGCAGCTAATAACAGGATGGTAGAACTGGTGAAACAACATATCGAAATTTGTGCGTGGCTGATTAACGTGGTCGGTTTACGATGATGGACGCAGGGAGATGATTTCAAAAAATGAAGAGCCCAACTTGGATCAGCACTTCACCTTTGGGCTGTTAAAAACAAACGAGGCTAGTGACTGACAGAGATCAAATAGACGGAGCGAGATTGGCCAACAAAAACGAACTATTTAACTGAAATACGGCTGTGAATCGCTTTCGAAACGGGATACAAATGTCAACATTAAGAAACCAACAGGATAGAGTGAGTGATGGTGAACATAGGACCAAAACACCTGATCAGCATTGACAAATGTTCATTGAGATGCCACAAAACTATGCCACACGCAATGAGTTTTGATGTCCCGGAATCCAACACAATTGCAGTAAAAGAAACTGTTTGGAGCCACATTCCATAGTCTTGTGCTTCACGAAAGAGACGCTGAACGCCTTGAAATACAGCGAACTTATATATTGGCACTGTTTAGTTCAGCAATATAAATCGCTTGTTAGTGGAGATTTAGTTCTATCATTGAAGCCTATCTGTGCTGATAAGTGAAGAAACTTTGCGTAGCTGCTTCATGCCTGTTTAGAATTATCATTCGCGCACATCTTAAGAAACTAGTAGCTCGGAGGTCACTGGTTCAAGACTTCCTTTGAATCCTTATTTTTGTAGACCACAGTCACTAGTGCCTTCAAGAAACTTTGCGTAGCTGCTTCATGCCTGTTTAGAATTATCATTCGCGCACATCTTAAGAAACTAGTAGCTCGGAGGTCACTGGTTCAAGACTTCCTTTGAATCCTTATTTTTGTAGACCACAGTCACTTAGTGCCTTCTTATTACCGTGAACCCCGGTCCGGATAGGCGCTTGATCACCTGGTGCGCTTGGCCAGACCAGAAAAAGTCAACGAACGTGCGAGCCAGCTGCTCTATTGATCACTGTCGCACACAAGCGGTCAAAAGTGATACTAGGAATACAGCTCATCAGTCAAGGGTGAGTGAAGAACAACCAATGAAATCCGCCTCAACGAAAAACGGTTATTCCATTGGTAGTTATGTAGTCCTGTTAAGTTCCGAGCTGGTTCTCCTAATACGCATTAAGAAATAACAGATAAGTTCCCTCTAGTTCGAAGCGATCAGTGAATCTTTCATGTTGCATGACACTACTGAATATGGGTTTAAGATACCTTTTATCTGATTGTAGCTTGTCGCATTCTGTCAAGCCACAGAAAGGATTTCAAATCCCATGATATTTGAAAAACAGAGCTTACCGGATTGGGTCGCAAAATGAAATGTAGGATGATCCAAGTGCAACCCAAGATAGCCACTAGCATGTCAAATCGGTTTCTTCGGGACTGCCAATAACCTTTGAACCCCAGAGCGATAATTTTCAGTAAACATTCCAAGCAGAAAAACAATGTGAAGATTATTCCCAGGGACACTTGAGCCAGATATCGCTTGTGAACGTTACTATCACGCTCCAAATCGGTCTCGTTGAACTGAGGGGAAGATATGAAGGTTTTAAAAATAACTGAGGAGACGGAACGTATACGACACGGCTGAAGCTCGAAAAAGTAAAATGTTTCAAAAACTTATCGAGTTATCAAAAAATAAGTTTTCAGTGATGCACTAAATAAGGGTTGCGCCATTATATGATAGTGCATTCACGCAGTAACACGCCTTCTCCATAGATTCAGAGTTTGAAAGTGAAAATTAAGGTCCTCCACAAACGCAGTCACTGCCCACAGCTATTCAGAGTAGGAGGATGAGGAAATTAGGCACATCGTTGGTGAACAGAAGGACTAGCATAAACTTACTGGGAAAAACAGTAGCCCACAGTTAGCCACCACTAGAATAGCCGAGGCACGTTTGAAGGCGATATGTTGCGTGATGTCATAAATTAGGCAGCGAAATTTTACACTTTTCTTCTCGAGATTGTTGGTCATCGGGTTAGCGGAGTAACCGTCCTGTCCGGGCTCCTGGCGTAATTCTAGACGAAATAAGGAGAACAGCATCATATATTGCAAAGTAAAAGTGACCGCTTGAGTACTGAAAACCGTTTGTGAGTTTCTTTGCATTATTTTCTGAAACAAGAAACTCAAATGATGAGTTTGCATGTGGGGAAAACAATCAAAGATATAAGCCCACTAAAACAGCGTCGACTTACACTTTTCTTGGCAACGTATGCAATACAATGTATCGATGCAGTGTATCCCAAAGTGATGTAGGGTCGGCATCCTGTATACCAAGAAGTCTTCAGCCCCGCAGTACACCAAATTATTCAATCGAACATGCATAAACCGAGCAGCAACCACAATAACTGAAGTACATATTCTGAGGTTGGAATCGAGCCACTGACATCCGGAATGTCAGACCTTGTTTTACCGACTGAATTACCAGAGTTCCTGCCACGTTTCCCACTAACATTCTGGAACATGCTTCTATCTGATAGATCAATAACGGAAGACCTCTTGCACCGTCAGTAGGCCCCCTTACTTGAACTACGCAATAAGTCAGACAGTGGCGTCCACCAAGTACGCGAAGGCCTTCGGATATACAACAATCCGAATTATTCTTTCAGACACCGATTCTCCCGACCACATGGGAAAACTGAGAGGGCAATCGTGCTTACATGTAACTGAGCGTCTGATCCAAACAACTTCAAAATTTGTTTGGCCTCCCAAGCAGAAATGTCCGAGGGGCAGTTTAGTGAATGTGGCAGAGAATTTGGGACAAACCAACAAATTGTCATGGACAGTATTCACTACACAGTACACAGTAGGTCAAGCAAGTCCAGTTTCGTGTACCCAAATCGTAGGCTATCGTCGGTTTTATCCGTGGATATTTTGGTGGTGACAGATAACGTGCAGATGTTATCTCAACTTTTTGGTCCCCCGGAGCTTAACGTCTAACTACAAGAGTCAGTTACGGTTATACTAGAATAGTTTGTGCACCACCCAGTGGCCACTATGAATACAGTGTTCACACCATGAAAGTCTCGGTGCATAGCATCGCCTCATAGGTTGAAAAGGCTTCCGGTGCAACTATGTTTTAACGGTTTTTGCAGTACGGAAAATGTTGACTGACTGGTAATTACATTATCTTCTATGCACATATAGAGGACTGGTGGTCTGAGTAGAGTTACACGCATGGTTAGTCGGAAGAAAATTAGACGGGTTTTCTTGTCGTTCCGATCAACTGCAGGATCAGATTCCAAAACTCAAGCATTCGATCTATGCTGGTAGCCCTTTCGCAGTTTGCGAGAGAAAACAGAGTGAAGATCTAATTGAACACCTATGAAGCCGTTTTTATGACTGATGCGTTGGGAAATACACTTGTTAAAAGCACGATCCCTTCATCGTGCAAAAACGAGTTTGTGGCCACAAAAGCCCAGCATAACGGGGGACAACTGCCAAAACCTCCCTGTCAGTCTATCAGCTTTGTCGGTACATTAGACTGTTATTGTTTGTTCATGACCTAGTTGGTAAAGTGAAGTAAACATCTCTGTGGGATGGGCTCGAGTAGGTAAATGAATTTTATGCATTCATTCAGACCTACGAAACTTCCGTGCTGTTGTGAAATATGACAACGAAATGAATCCAGAGAATGAGATAAGGTTCTACATTACAAAGAAACTGCTGTCACAATGATGGGAAATGCTATGTTGTTTCACTTTAGATCGCTTTCTACTGTGCCCCATCCTATATACTGAGGAAGGTGGATTTCAGTAGAACAAAACGTTTATGGGGTGAAGGAATTTATTGTCTGATCGACACCGCCGTGCTAATTATTAAGCCTTCGTTCGAGACGTCGGGTAAACCAACCAAGTCGGGTTGATTAGGCAACCAAACTCTCGAACGTGAACACATTCACCTATCCAGTCAGGTGTATCCAGCGCGCGCTGGTACACTGGTGGTAACACGCTGGCCTATTACGTGTCAGTTCAACCCCCCGCACGTCCTAGGATACACCTGTTGATGAGTCCAACGCTTTCCGTCTTTGATATGGACTCACCAAAGCCATTGCATCAGGACACGAGGAGGACCGATCAAACAGGCTAGATGTGAATTTGTCTAGGATTTTAGAGAAGGTGAATGACAGTGCCTCCTCCAGAAAAGCACCCGATTTTGTCACAGCTTATTCATCGGCAGTAATTCAAAAAAAACTTGGAACCAAAACGTTTGTATTAGGTCCAACGTCGTTTGATTGCAAAAGGTGGTGAAAGTACCTTGCAAAGATTCTGAATACTAATTATGGTCGCTTAGCTGACCACACAATGGGAACCATCTGATTATGAGTGGGCGTGTTAAAGACAGGAAACAGTTGGTGACCTTATTCGGCAAAACAGTTATTTGTTGAATAGTTGAACAGCTCAACTGGCAACACAAAATGTTTTGAATAATAGTTAACAGTCCCATACAGTAGTTGATATACAGTTATGTCAGATGTGTACCTCAGCATAAGCGTATGTGGTTGCTTGCTGAACTTATCCATTCCGGTTAACACCAGAGTTACCAATTCATGTGCGGCAAGGTGACCAGTTCGCATGAACCAGCTGCCCCGAGGGTGCGCACGCAGTTATCGAGCATCCTGCAAAGTAGCCTAAAAGCTTATGCCTCCGGTGCCAACTATAATCCCCAGTCCGATAGCTGATAAGTGCTGTCCTCGTTCTATCACTTGGTTCATATGCAGTCGATGGATAGTCTACGAAGATAACACTTCCTAAAATCAGTCGGACACAAAAATGAAAAACCGCAAGAAGCATGGTCTCACTTGGACGCGGTGGCAGCTGCAACGGCTGAGTTAATTTAATTCTTCCTTTCAAGTCAAGCCATCTTCTTTGGTCGACCGTAAGTAAGGCGGTACCCTGAAAAACAAGCAGATAATCGTACGACTATTCTGATACACTGATCCAAAGAGAAAATACAACGAAATGAAATGGAGTAAGTTAGGCACAGTTCGTTCCAACTTTGCGAGAATACCTGCGAATTACAATGATATCGAATTTTCTGTGCGGCCAAACGCAGTTTTATAGTTGAAACCCCGAGTATGTCTCATAAACACTGGCTTGAACTTTAAACCAACTTATTGAATTGTAACTACAATCATTCTAGCTGGAACAAGAGGTGGTATTTGTGTAGCACATTTGTTCAAAGAATATCACGAGCGAGAGGCACAGGTAAAATTCAGTTAAGCCCCATGTTAACACCAACCTAAATTGCAGCTGCGAGACTAGGCCGGTTCGGGTGGAGGGTTCGATACCTCTCCAGGTCTTTGACCACCGGTGTCTCGAAAGTTGGGACCAGAGAATATACCATGAGGTGATCAGGAGACATGTTTTTGGTGAAACAGAAGGTGCTTTCCGCAGGGAATGCATCCAGCGTATCAAGCTGAGGTGGCTGGGCCGTTTGTTACGGATGCCGAGTTACTACCTGCCGAAACAGGCACTCTTAAGCGTGCTTAATCCGGAATGGCGGAAACCTAGAGGTGGATAGCACTTGACATGTCAGCAGGGGACGGAGGATGTTAAGAAACGTTATTATTAGTATCATTCGCCTTCTAGGATGGGATCCACAAGACCGCGCCCTGAGCTTGGCTGGAAACTAAGCGATATCGCGGCTGACCGGTGTCAGCGGCATTCATGCTGTCGGTTTCTATCCAGATTGTCCAAGTACTGAAGATGTAGGCATCTCAAATGTTTGTTGCGAACTATCTCTGGGTGACAACCTGCTCTATTTCTTTCTCCTCTCCATTATGGGATTTCATTGATATAAACTGACATCGTTTTGCGGCGGTGAGGCATTAGTGTCTTCATCTGATGCTGTTGACAACGCCGATGGTGATGACGACGATGACGATCATGATAGTGATGATGAGTTTGTAACTGAATGTGTTCCGGCATTTGAGTACGATTTAGTATTCAAGTAGTTCATAAGGTTGACGGGAATTCGGGAAATACCCGATGAACCCTAAGAACAGTAAAACTGATCGTGAGCTTTCGAAGAATGTCAGCAACCTTGTGAGTAAAGTGAAATAAAGTGGTACCTGAAGACGCACATAAGGCGATGACTTTGCTCAGCTCAAAGCTCGTTTGCACAAAGAGACATGTGTATTCAACAAAAGCCTTTACTTGGTGCATCAAACCAAACAGAAACCTTATAAGAAGGAAACTGAGATAATTCATTGTCAAGGTTGGCTCCGTGCACCCGAGGAAATGTTGCACAAATTGAAACGTAGTATGAGCCTGGGGAACATCTCAATAGCTAGAAAGCTTTGCTATATCCGATGTCAGACTGGATAACTTGAAATAGATCGCTAACCACCTCTAATATCTTTGAGGAGAATTCCAGAGACACTTGATCTTAAAGAAGATGGGGGTACATTGGTTCGGAACCTAATTTCTACCTCCTTAAATGTGGCTACCGTTCCCGATGACGTCGATCATGAATTGTTGAACACGCATGTGAATAAGTTCATCACAAATTGTTAATTGGATTCTAGTGTTGTGTACAAAATATATTCAAACAGCGCTGTTTACTTTGTTCGCTTACTTACTGCGTACCACCAACGCCCAAGTATTTGTGTGACACTGGTGTGTTGGCTGGTAAAATCAAATCGAGAAGCAGCCTATGCTCTGCAGATTTTATGAAGTTTGCACTAACAAAAGCGATCACACACATTAAAACATCATCATCATAAAAGACAGCAACATCAGTGTTGGCACTGATGCTTCACTGCCGTACAACCATAGGTCATGGTTGTACGAGGGCTGGGATACTGCCAGGACGCCCACACCTAGACAGGAGGAGGATTAGGGTCTTCAACCAAAGTCTTTGGCTCAAAAGCCTAACCGCAATGCAGCGGTTTTGGCGGGAAATGCAAATGCATCACCGTTTCTACGGAACAAGTCGCCATACATGTTCCAACCCCCAACCTGGAGGGCCAGGAGACTGTGTTCGCCAGACCTCTAACCATTGACCAACCTGGTATGAGAGACTCTGTGAGTGTCGCGCGGACACCCCCCAGTATAGCTCAATGGATCTCCGAGGTACACAAACCGCCACACCACGGTAAGTTCCAGTCTCTTCGTGACGGACACATTAAAACCAGTTTGACACGTTCGAAAATAACCATCACAATTTAGTAAAATCGTAGTAGTTTTACTCTGAAATTCATCCACACATGTTTCCCATCAGATGTTTTCCAGATCGAGGAAATTTTTCTCGGGCGCTTGAAAGAATCACAATTGAAGTGACGAACAGAATACCTCTTATTATGTGATATTCGAGAAATTTGAGGACCCGGCTCATTGAAGGTAAGCTGTGGTATCTATTCACTATATCCATAAAGGGTCATTTTCTGTTGTGGTCTCCGCTGATCTATCTTTATCTAGTGGAGGAACATTTTCGTTAAAAGCTGCTGTTGTTCGTAAGGAGGATTATACAAGTTTGGACGGCATCATCGATACCATCAATCACCTTGAGGTGCAGACCCATACACGGATCTAGTGGTTCAACTATCATTTGCAACTCCTTCGCTGTCTTTAGTATCGTGACAAATTTCTTCCATATCAGGTTCTGCACCGGCCCCTCTAAATCTGTTAATTCTTCAGCTACTTCGTTGGGAACTTCGTTAACCTCATCCTGCGGTACATCACCAGAAAGCACCTTCACCATTTCTATGTCTACATCCTTGGGATGAATTTTCTCAAATCCGAAGCCGTTGCTATCCCTGTCTTACGTAGGTCACAATATGTTCTGACTTGCCTCTAAGGTCTCTAGCTTGACCTCCTTTGGAGCGGCTTGGGTGACCGACAGGCCAAATGCCATCGTATATTTACGGTAGCAACCCCCTATTGTCCATGACATATGCGAGGGGATAAGGAACATTTCGGGTACAAAAATTCTTGTAGGCACACATCAATCCCTAACCCAAAAACTGGATAGGAAAGACCATATTGGAATGATCCATGAAGACTATCACTTTGAAGCTCATGTCTAACTCGTTGAGGTACGCAGCAAGGCAACCCATGTCTTGGAGTATGCATCTAGTTGACAGTAGGTTTTTTTGAAGGCCCCATGGTTTACTGATTTGATTTCATCATCCGGCGTTGCAACTTCGGTTTGCTCATTCATGATGTGAGTCTTAAAACAGAAATAACCGGTCTGATCCATGTCAGATCATCACCCGGACTTCAGCCTGTTTTGGTTTATTACGTGTCTGAAAGTCTTGAGATTTTTATGAACAGAAGTCGCCGCTTCGTGCATGGGAGCACTTCTGATACTAGATGGGTTATGAAAATGACTAAAATTCCCAATATTGCCTTAAAAATCCCCAAAATCCAGTGCTGTTGGTGGTTCTGTTCCCGTTATATCGCCTTCTGTTTCTAGCTGCTAGTATAATTTCCTTGCACTCTTATGGTTGACGGTATCATATAAGGGAGGGTTCGTTCTTCCACAGTTGGTGATTTACAATGCCAAGACATCATTCTTAAGATACTGTCATTCTACACAGCCGACGGCTTTCTGGTGCTGTCACAGAAGCCTGCTGCTATGACGTTCGATGTCTCTGCCTCATTCTTCTTTCCTTGGCATGCTTTCCTTAAGTTATGCTACAATGATGCACTACTGTGTGGTGTAGTTCGAACTTGCCATGGGGGAACCCGTTATATGGCCTGACTTTCTTGTCGGAACCAAAATATGGTGCGTGGAGTTTTGATCCGGAGAATACCGAACCGAAAGTTTTAGAAACTTCCAAGAGAACATTCGAGGTAGCTACATGTGGTAAACTGAATGTGCAAGAATTTTTTGGACATTATCTGCTGAGGATAATTTAGCACTGAAACATGTGGATCCTCGCAGTCCGTCATGGAAATCTACAAAAAATTGCAGAATAAATAGGCATTGGTTAGTGTTTCAAAAAAGTTCAAGAAGCATCGATGAATTTGCTGCCATACGAAGTTTCGCTTCTGATACAAAAGCTTCGTTCCCTGACAAGTAAAACATTGCTCAGCTAGAAACCCACCGATTAATTTTAGAATTCTATGAAACAATGGCTTCCCTATAGACTTCAATCAACTTTGCTCAATGTTCCCAAATATGGTACCGGGACGCCTGTTCGTAAGGACTGAAATTTAGTTTAAACTCATTATTACCAGCCTAAATGGTGCGCTCCATATTACTATACGCATCAGAAACCTGGCCACTGCGCGCCGAGGACGTCAAAAGACTTTCAGTGTTTAACCACCGATGTCTTCGGAGCACCGCCCGAATCTGGTGGGAACACCAGATCAGCAATTCTGAAGTACGTCGAATGGTATTCGGGAGAAATAACTCACTCTCAATAGATGAACTGATCACACTGCATAGGTTGCGCTGGCTTGGCCACGTGTTGCGTATCCCAGTCGACCGACTTCCTCGAAGGGCTCTTTTCGCACAACCACGTGAAGGGTGGAAGAGAGTCAGAGGCGGTCAACCAATGACTTGGCAGCGAAGTATGAAAGCTATTACCAGCAAACTTAGCTGCGCCGGTCATTGCCGTCTTCCTGGATGGGGACTCCGAGATGGGCCACATCAATGGCTAGAGACATTGTCAGATATGGCCCAGTCGCGCCCTCAATGGCGCTCGTGCATCCAAGCTATTGCCTTCAATGCATAGCTCCCTTCCCAATCCTCCCACTTAACAGTCCACCTACAGTGCCGTATTTACGCACTACTTTATCAGCTTCCACCTCCAATGCGCAGCTGCCTACCCCACCTCCCCGAATCATCGGTGAACGAAACTGTGGCAGCTACAACCACTGTACGACAAGTACGCGGTTATTACAGCTGACAACGATGATGATTATGATGATGAAACGAATCACACGTTGACGAATTTGTAGCGCAAAGACTATCTCGGGTTCCATCGAAGAGAAATTCAGTAATATTTCGTCGTCCTTAAAGTAGCAGAATCATACAAAAGGTCCCAAAATATCACCAAAACGCCATCCTCAAGATGCAGGAAGTTTGGCGTTTGCTTTAGGGACACCCAACGTACACAAGGCTGGCCGTTACCGACATTTATTGACATCAGTTTTAGAAACATGGAACTCGTGAGAAAGCCATTCGATGCAAGGCAGGGACTAGCCAGCATTGGAATGCACAGCTCGCCAATTCGATTGAAATTTAAAAAAAAGCACGAAGGCAATAGGCATCAAACTCACCTTATTTTCGCTGTAATTGGCTATCACAACACCAACAAATAACGTCAGCCCAATTAGGCAACCAATGAAGACAAACAAATGGATGTAGATGGTATGCCGCTGCAAAACAAGAGAATGAATCCCAAAGTCAACAGCTAATCTGAAGTATAGATTAACTAGATCTTAGAACTGTAGGTCGGCTGCATCATGTATTTTCATTTCAAACTGAACAGGAGATGGGCAGAAATCAGGTTTCGAGGTAAAATAAGCGTATGTGGATTCATTTTGTCCTATTTAACATGTGCTAAGCCGCAGGAAACCAATTCCAACTTGGGCAAGAGTAAAAGAAGTGTAAGGAGATTTGGTCATTTTCATTCTGTCAGTGAGTGAGAGTGCCTTTCAGGGTGGGCAAAAAATTGTTTACGTGGACTGGAGTCATGTTCGACGGAGCAACGGTCTGGCAGGAACACGTGATTCTCATCGCACTCCAAACTATAATTATCATATCTTTTTAGTTAAACAAATAATGCAGCTACAAACTACTGACTTCAATGGACATGGATAAACATAAATGAACCTTTCAAACTCAGGTGTAATGATGAAGTAGGTGTCTACCGACTCCAGCTCTTTAGCCCATTGGCTATATACAGTTACCCTACTTCTAACCTCTGACTCAGATTACTAAAAATCATACGACTTAAATCAGTTGAATTCTTGTGTGTTTGAATGCAGACAGTATTATCCAGTGTGGTAAATCTTGCATTTCGAGGAAGACGAACTTGATGGGGTCTGGGAGAAACGTATGAATGTTTTCACATAAAACGGACCTCTGAACTTAATTCTTCAGAAAACGATGGACATGTATTACCAAATAGTCTCGTCATATACTAGATGATCACATCATTATCGTTCTGACGTGTGCATGAAATGTATCGAACCCAGCACAGGATGGACCATTTAGTTAGATTCAGGACAACTTACTGGGCCGATGCGTTCGTTGATGACATCTCGAATTTCAACCCAACCTTCGAGGGAGAGTACTTCAAACAGAGCTAACATCGCATTGCCGATGTTGTCAAAGTTGAAATTACGCGGATTGGCCCATACGCGAGGAACCAGCAGTCGAGGGCCCGGACCTTTGATACTTTTGAGCTTGGTAACGGAAATTTCTCGATGGAAACGACCGACACATTTTTCCTGAAATAGAGAGAAAAGCTGTGCTTCTGTTCTGCAAGTTAGTCCATGTTCCAGATTAAGTTTTAAGTTCAATGAGAGCGGGTGTCACATAAGAATCAGTTACTTATGCAATCACAAGTTAAAACTTGAAGCAAAGTTTTCGCAGTAGTTAAATTTGTCACTGCATCCTGTGGACAGTGTTGCACTTGAATTACCACTTTTCAGAGACGTAAACATCACATGGCTTGGTGCACCACACGGGGTAAATAGAAGAGTTGAAGCACAAGGTGCGGTTTTCAAACCGAATGTGCGCGTCACTACTGAAATATCCTTGTCAGTTGCAATCGCCTAGTAAATGATGTAGAGTTTTTCTCAAACGAATACCGCCCAAGCTAGGTTGGGTCCACAAATAAATGAGTACCTTTTTGGCAGATCGTAATAAGGGAGAGTTCATCTATTATTTTCTCCGTTTCGGGTAAAATGCTTGTGCGTGTGTGGGGGTACCAGCTGTACGAACAAGTCGACTGGCCCATGGTCCGGACAGTTTCAGGGCCGAGTATGAGGTCTCACCCATAAGGAGCAATATACCCGTTTCACTCGAATTCACTTACCTTCAAAAGCACATGTTGTATTTCGGTAGTTGTGTGGCATAGGAGGAGGGGCATTCGACATTGAGGCTTATGAGTCCACACGCTACTAATGTGGCTTAAATACATGCACCTTGAGAAACGGCAATTACGGCTGGCAACCCCGCTTGATTTCGAAATTCTCAAGCATTACACTGCACTGTTTTACGTCCACCGGCGAAAAATAATAAATTCTTACTTTAGAAGAAAAATGCTAAACTAGCAAGAAGCTATTTTACTTGCCTCCGTCAAACTTGATCCTTGGGGTGACAGTTCGTGCCGCACTAATATTTCATTTATATGGTTTCGAAATTTACTAACAACAGGATGTATTTTGGGTTACATGACTAATTTATCAAAGGATTTCTCAGCGGAGTTTGACTACCCTTAACATACCTATTATGTCCGGAGTTTGTCCTTCTGACTAGCTGACCTATTTAGTTTCTAAATCCAATAATGTTTGTTCAAAACACTGAAAGAGAGAAAAGCCTTAATTTATGGTCTCAAAAGTTTTCACTGTGATGATATTCCGGATTCATTACAAAATTAGAATAATATACACCCAAACGTATCAAGGAACCCTCATTCTGCTGAGTATTGCAGACAGCTTCAAATCGAATGCAAGACATAGAGGATAGGTTGGTGACAAGGTTTAAAGACTCCGCATGTGGTTCGCGTGTGGCAATGACACAATATCAGTTATCGACATGCTCCATGTTGTTGGCATATTCATAACGGCTTTCGCGAGGTCGAAGAGCTTATCATGTTTACAGAATAGTGTGATTTTCGGTGCCTTCCACATGTGGAAATTCATGCATACTGACGAATGGTAACGCATTTAGCTACTGTTCTGGATTCTTTAGTCATCTTCTGATCGATGTAGTTTGCGCATCTTTCGGAATCTTAAGACGATTGCCATGAAATGTGTGTATTGTACTGTACTGAGATTGGAGGATACGTTTGTGGGAAGATATCAGGAAAAGGTCAGCTTCCTAAAAGTAACCACTGAAGGCCCGGAATCTACGGAGACTCTCAGCTCCGCTGGATGTTGACCAGACAGACAACGCCCCCCCTAATATGCAGCGCGTCACAGCCTTGCATCAAACCCAGACAGCGCGAGTCAGCGTTGATCAAGGACAGACAACGCCTCCGCAATATGCAACACGTCGCTGCCTCGTACTAAGGCCAGACCGCGTGCGTCAGCATTGGACCAAGTTCAGACAGTGTCCTTCCAATATAAAAAGCTTGAGGCCGTTGTACTTTTCGCACTCGCATGCACTCGCGCTCTCCCAACGGTGAGCCTTTTTCTCTCCGACACCAGGCACTGGAGCGGGTCATCAGCAAGTACCACAGATTGACGAATCAGCAGATATAACAGATGTCACGTGACGTTTTTTTTCCGGAGGCCACTGACGGTAACTTATCTACCATTTCTCCAGAGTCTCAGTGCAAAGATGGGCGTCGCGGATATTTAGTGCGTTCTTCCCGTTAACTTTTAAAACCTAGTCAGGTTCTACCATGCTTTTTCGACGGATTTTACGATACTCAGTCAGATATGCCTATATATATATATATAT